CCTTAGAAGGTAATTATTCAATTATTTTATGTCACCTTTCATCATTGATTAATGATTCTAGCAACCGGTGAACTGGAATCTGTTCTGTTCTGACAGAGGAAGAGCTTATTTAATTTATGTTAATTTTGGGTTGGCTGGTGTCTCAGTAGATTGAGACCCTGTAGGTACGGAGTGGCTTGGTGAAGAGTCTCTTGTACACTTTCTATTTGTTGGACTGTCACTACTCAGCTGGAATGAGGTTCATTCTGAGCTTAGAATAGGAAGGGCTAACACAGTCATAGAGAAGTAAGGGTGAAAGGGACCTCAAGAGATCATCTAGTCCAACCAAGGATTGAACCTGCAACCTTGGTGTCATTAGCATTATACACTAACCAACTGAGTTAAAAAAACAAGTTTGATTTCTTTCCAGTTGTCTATAAATATATGTTTTTCTCCTGGAGAGGGGGCACTTGTTTTAAATCAGCGATTCCCAACTTTTTTTGCCCCATGGCACGCTTACCTAAATAAAAAAGCACCGCAGCACACTGGACGCGATGCAGCCAGCCGACACCGATGGTGGGGGGTGGCGCACAGCCAGCTGGACAGCATTTTGGGCTGGAGCCACACTCCCCATCTGTCTGTGTCTGCAGCAGCAACAGGCGATGGGGGGAGGGATGTGGCTGCAGCCAGGCAGGGGGCGTGGCTCCAACCCAAAATGCCGCGGCACACCTGGGTGTGTGTGACAGCACACCAGTGTGCTGTGGCACAGAGGTTGGGACCCACTGTTCTAAATGAAGTGGGTTTAACATTTGTGACAGGCATTGGAGAGCTAGGGAGGCAGAATGCACGCATTAAGTTGTAACAGGCCCAGCGCCTGAGGAAGATTCCATTCCATCGCATGCCATCCTGCTGGCTGGCCAGTGTGCCACTGTCCTACCTTAGATGCAATTGTGTAGAGGTACGCCAAATCAGAGACCACCAGTAAGCCCACATAGCACATGCATGCACATGCACAAGTAATTGTGATTTCTGTAGTCTGCATCCACTTACTACTCAAGTGGGAGTTAGGGACAATTTGGAGGCCATGGAGCCTGCCCCATGCTGCAGGGTGGACCTCTTAGTTGACCTCCTGCAGACTGAGCCTCTTTATGTGTCACACTGACCTGCCTGCATAAGTGGGAAGGCATTTGTTCATGGCAGAGCTCCAGAGGATTCCAGCTTTTGCCCTTTTGCCCGCAGGGATGCATCTTGGTTGTCTGATGCAGCACTCCCAGTGGGTTCAGTCCTGATGCCACTGTTAAACAATGCTCAGATCTTCACAGGTTGGCTCTGCATGTGTCTGCTGCCAGCTGGCCTCTCCTGTCTCTTGTTCCCACCCCAGCTTTGACTGGCACCCAACTGTAGTGTCTTCCTTATGCCAGCCAGTCAGCTCCTTCACTTCTTTCCATTTGTCCAAGGATAAGCCTATGCAAGAGAGTAGCACCACTTTAACTGCACCACCAGAGTATTCGAACCCTAGCACCTAGACTGGTGTCTTATACCAGAATAGATGTAGGAATGGAAATAAATTTTCATTTACTTTTACAGAGGGAGCTGCATCCTGTGATGGTTTGGCCAGAATGTACGTGGCCAGGCCCTGAAGGGCAGTCAGGAGGTCAGATAGGTATGGTTATGGGAGTGTCAGGTTAGGCTTTGGATCATTAGAGCGGGGAACGCAGGATCAGGTTCCAGGAAAGTTAAGATGGAGATCTGAGAAACGTAGTTTGGAGTGCAAACAGGTCAAAAACCAGGAGAATCAGAGAGGCAGGGGCCGAGTTCCAGGGGGGATCCAGGATCAGGGTCACAAAAAGCCAAAGCTGCCGAGTTCCAGGGGTGATCCAAGATCAGGGTCACAAAAAGCCAAAGCTAAGACAGGAGCCAGGAGAACCAAAAAAAGCAGCGACTGTGAGGCTTGCTGCGCAGGAGCAGACTGAGGCTGTTGCTAAGATGTGCTTGCAGCCTAAAACTGCAGATATGTTTAGAAGGGCTCAGTGGTGCTCTCAGCAGCCAATCCAGGTACAGAGAATTGGGACAGTCACATTACCCCAGGATGAAGGGCAGGTGTGGAAGCTCAAAAGCTCAGCCCAGCTGGGCCTGCCTGATCAGAGGCCCTGATGCATCCCTGCTACATCTTGTACGTGTAAAACTAGAGCAGTAATGTGCTCGCACCCTCACTGACAGCTCTACTGATACAACAGTCAAGTATTGACCATGCAGGACACCTTTCTAAATGTCCCACCATCTGCTTCCATTCTGTCATCCACTGCTCCAGTGCCCCTTTGCTTCAGACCTGACCCTCCTTACTCCTGAATCATCACTTACCAAAGTGTAGTCATGTTCCTGTCCCCTCCTTACCTGTATCCCAGTTCTCTTCCTGTTGTGTCCCAGTTCTGCCAACTACCCCTTCTGGTCTGCTACAACTGTTCCCCCAATGCTGCTCAGGGACCTTTTACCTTCTCATACACTCAACTACTCCCCCCAGGCTGACTCACATATGCATAAACACCTAAGCAAAACTCAAAAGTTGTAACTGAATTAGGGACTTATACCTGGTTTTCCCACATTTTATGTAAGTGTCCCATCCGTTAAGCAGTTCTGGTTTGGCAGGGATCCCTCTCTCATTTTGACCTGAAAGTCTGTCCTGACCCCAAAAAATAGTTTCCAATGAAAGTTGCATTGAAACTGATCCATTCCCATGAAAAGTTTCAGTGGGTCAGCATTTTTGATGAGTAACTATTTCACCAAAAAGGCTGCATCTACAAGAACGGGAATGTGCACTTTGTGGTGCCTCAAAGGCTTTTGAGGTGCCACAAAATGCACACAGCACATGTGAAAAGGTTCTCTGCACTGCACACTGGCAGTGGGGAGCCAAAATTAGATACGGGGAAATCCCAGTGTCTAAAAAAACACGCTTCAAAAAAAAAAGTGGGGCTCTGTCCTAAACCGGAGCCTAGCCGACCAGCACCACACTCCAGCTGCCAGCCAGGCTCTGCATGCCTGGGTTGCTGCCACTTCAGCCCCAGGAGGCCCCCAGGATCTTAGGTAAGGCTGCTAAGGCCAGCCCAGGGGCTGGCCTTAGCTCCTCCTACCTCACCCAGGCAATTTGCTGTGTCCTTAGCTTCTCCTACCTCACCCAGGCAATTTGCTGTGTCCCAGAGTGCACTGTGTGCTGCTGCTATTTGTCCCCAGGGTGATGCACGTGTGTGCTCATGGGGAGATGCCCAAAATCCCAACAGCCTCCAGTTGTGTGTGAAGACCTCTTCTGGTTAAAATGAGGGCCAAATTAATTGGTTTAGTTGAAAAGAAAAGAGAACAAAACATTCTGCCTAGTTTTAGAATCAAGTTCAAACAAGCTTTTTAAACACTCCAGATTGGCTAAAATTTTATTTCTGTGTGACTGGAACAGGTCAGCATGATCATCATGTTTGGCTCTGTACATAACACACATAAAGATATGCTACACTACAGTAGGGAAAGCTGCACTCCTAGGATTTCCATCCATGGTTTCCTTACTCAGGCAGCTATGCCATTTGGCTAATGTTGGAATACATATCTGGAACATCTGGTCCTTTTGCTGTTAATTTATTGTGTGCTGGAATTCTTTTGCAATGTTTTTTGAGTAATGTACTTCACTCTGATCCAGATGGGAGTGTGTACCTTTTCTCTATGATATAAATAAGAATGAGAATGATTTATAACCTCGGCACAACTCTCAAGGATTTCTGTGTGAAACTCACATTTGTGTCGGTGGAGTATGTGGCTAATTGCCCTTTGTACCCTTTGTAACAACTTGGTCAGATCCATGTTAAATTTCATAGAAAACTGTTGGCTTCAGTTCTGGAGACATGAACAACTTTGTTTTCCTGTTCTGTTGGCCCATCCACCTAAAGATGCTGAACAAAAACACATTTTTCATAGAGATTTTCCCCGCTATGTTTTTGTAATATTAGTCTGTTCATTCATACAGTACATGTGAGTGCACTGCATGCCAAACATTACTTTGAGGGTTACCAGGAATCATTACCATCCAGTTGCTCTTTGGAGGTCCAGATGAAAGGAAGTGGTTTTAGATCAGTGCCCAGTAGATGGTTATCTATAGAGCAGGAATTAGTGCCACAAGCTATTTGATCCCCTTATTGACAGTCCGAAGTGGAAGACCAGGGATTAAATGGACCATATAGACAGAACTTTACTCTTAATTTTTTAGATGGTTCCTATAAATCAAAGGTGAGGAACATTAGCTGGGCATTGAGGGAGATGCCTGCTATAAGGCAATATCTGCTATATCCGTTCAGTTGAATAAACAGAAGACTTCAGCCTTCAGGCTATGCATCATTTTTCACCAGCACTCAATATACATACACTCTCACAATAGCTGATTTTGCTTATGGTGGAAGGAAGATCTGTTAGGCATCCTTGTTAAGGCATAAAAGATCTGGGGGTTTAATCCTAGCTCTGTCACAGGCATCCTGTATGACCTTCGGTAAATCATTTCATCTTTCTATTACTTAGATCTCCCTCACAAGAATGTTGTGATGCTTTTATTGTTTTCAGGGTCTTCAGATACAAGAGAAGGGAGCCAGATATGACTGAGGCAGACAGGGCAAAATATGCAGCGTCTGCTCATTATTAGAATCTCATATTAGAATCAAAACTACAAAACCAAATTCCAAAAACATTGTCATTGTATTAGTATCTTTATAGAACCAGCCCTTTATTAGAATAAAAATCTTAAACTAGAATTCGTGAGGACAAGCTTTTTTCCTTCTGGCTATTGAAATCCAGTGAAATATCAAAACTGTATAGACTGTTTCAAGGGGAGGCTGCATGGGCTTTTTATTTAGCTCTCTTTACTTAGTTAGAATTGCTAGTTATTCAAATCAAAAGTGGACTGCCCAATGTGGTTCTAGTAACTGGAGACACTGTAGGTTTATAGTGTATCAGCACATTCTGGCTACATTTTTTCTTTCCTTTCATGTTAGGTTACATCTAAATACTCTGTTGTAATTGTACAAGGGCATGTGGCATCAGAGGGGGTGCTTCTCTTTGGGAAAGAGCACTTTTACATCTGCGAACACTTTACCTTGTCCCAGTTGGAGGAAGTTTACTGCACCCGGCACTGCTTATCAAGGTGAGTCATGTTTTCCTACCAGTGGGTACAGTTGGTCAGATTCAGTATGAGTCAGTAAAGCCTTTGGACCCTCACTAACTTCAGAAGGCTTTAAAGGCCTACATTAGCATAGTGTGGAGCTCACTGTGTTTTTCTTCTAACGGAAAGGTAGGATTGCCTGGATGAGTATCTGCATCCAGATGTGCAGGGGCGTGTGCTTGCAGCAGATTTGCCGTGTGGGACATGTTTTATTATTCCACGCATGTGATTTGTGGTGCCACAAAGAGGTTTGTACTTCATGTCCCTGCTCATCTGGATGTGGCCAGTGTGGACAAAATTGGGTTTTTCTGGACTCACCATTCCCATCATCCTTCTGATTCACATGAGACACAGCATAGTGATTACTCTGCTTTGGGCTTGAATTCAACATACTTTTTGGGTGGCTGTGGCCAGCAAAGTCACAGGGCTCTCTACTGTTCAATGCAGCACTTCATTAATTTAGTGCAGTGGGCCAAGAATGAAACCCCAGCACAGACTCCCATTAGCTCAACCCTCGTCTGGATTCAGAAGAAGGAAGAATTGATATAAAATAATGTGAAAAGGAAGGACTTCTGTGTCCTGAAATAATCCATAGATGGACTTTGCTGGGAGTTCTCATGCCCTGCCACTGGAAATATTCTAGTCCCACTCACAAACCTTTGGGCAGTGAGCAAAGATGCCCTGGTTTATATTAGATGTTTAACAGGGCATGAAGGATAGCAGTTTACAGCCTTGGATTATTAGGGGCCTGATAATGATATCCTTAGTCATGTTGAATTGGATCTTACATACACTAGAGCTAGTTGTACTGAAGTCAACAGGACTGCTATGGGAATCAGGTACTTGGCACTCAGTGTGCACATCTACATGTTCATTATCGTGCCATAATTACAGACCATGAAGTTTAGTACCTGTATTTACAAGTACTAACTTAATGCACTGTAATTGGCACTACTGCGCAGTAGTTCTGGTGCATGCTTTTTTTGTGTTGCTAATGCACAGTAGACTAATTCTATTGTGCGTTAGCACATTAGCATGGTGTTTGCTGTTTATGCTGATACGCAGTAGAATTAGTCTACTTCACCTTTAGTGTCTCATGTAGACGTGCTCAGTGTGAGTCTGTCAGGCTGTAAGGTTCACCTCAATGCTACTTTCAGTGTGAGTTAAACCATCACAATCTAACCTGAAGGGCTCATGCCTACACTGGACTTCTGCTGTGTTCACCTTTACCTGCTTATCAATAGCAAGTATTTTCCAAACTTCTTTTACATGGAGGAGCATACAACTAATACAGTGGCTTTAAAGAATATGGCTACCACATGTATTGCAAGAGCACCCAAAATATGTTAGTTATAGTAGACACACTGAGGAAAACTCAGTCCCACTATAGACAGAAATTGTTCTCTTTTGCTTATAGTTTAAGTGTTGGCATTTTCTTCTGTATCACTTCCATCTTTTATTCATAAAGAACATTCATTATAAAAGATTTTTGTTTCATTGGCTGATAAGTTCCTGTTTGTTTCTCCAAGGGAAAAGGAATCATAATTAATATTTGGCACACTGATACCTTTTTATGACTCATGTTTTATTGATGCTGATCAATACTGAAAATGGGCTTGTAGTCTTGGCTTTCTGCTTATACTCCATGTGTGTATATGCACACAAACACAAAGTCCATGGGGAAGTGAGTAACTTAATACTTTTACTTAGTGACAGTCTGCTTTTACATCCAGTTCTCACTAGATCAAATTTTAGTGATTGTATCTGTTAGTCTGGTCAGATGAATAAGAGAGTGACTGGTTTGGCTTCTGTCTTATGCATTAATTGTTGTTTTTTTTAAAAAAAGTTTGATTGCTTTGGATCAGATTCTACATAGTACTTATGCTGGGCATGTCTACATTACAGACTAATTCTGTGCGCCTCAATTAGGGCGCATGAATCTAATAAATTCCACAGCAGAGGGTAGTACTTGTAAAATACAAGTACTACATATGGAGCCCCATCGGAGCAGCCCTCAGCTGGCAGGCTGACCCCCCAGGCTGCTCCTACCAGACACAAATAAACTCCATAGCAATATGCCCCAGAGATTTTTGCTCCCAAGAGCACTTTCAAACTGCTCACTCAGGAGCAAAAATCTCTGGAGTAATGAGCTCTGAAGTTTATTTCTGCATGATAATCACATGTGTAAATGTGCTCACTAAGTAATAAGAGAGGCCCCATAGAAGTCAGGGAATAGGCAAACAAGCAGATTACCATGGGGCAGCTTTGGGTGTTCATGTTGTTCTCTTACCCCATGGCAAATGCAAGATAGTTGCTTCTTCGTGAAGATAGGGTAGGCTGCCTTACATTTATCATAGGGAAAAGCATGTACACAAGTAATTATCACATAGCAACTAATGTGCTTTAATTTCATACGTTGGCTTGCCTCATGGTACCTCGCCTTTGTCACCAATGGGACTATTTGAGGAATAAAATGCTGCAAATTGGGATTTACGATATCACACTTTGCCCTTTACACTCAGCAACGTGCCCTGGCTATGGCCGTACTTCATCCAGACCTTCATGTTCTCCTGCCCTCATGGATGCAGCCCTTTTCTCCGTGCCTTCCCCATGTCAGTGTCTTTGGGACTTTTACCTGTGCAGAGTGCTGCTGCCAGCCTGTGTGCATGCACTGCGAGGCCTGATCACATTAATTTCACCCTCAGACTGCACCAGCTTCCTGTTTATTTCAGGGTCCAGGACAAAATTACCTGCAGTAGTTTGAAACACGGAGTGCTCTGGCTGCTGTCACTGACCTACTGGTGTTTCTGATATGCTTTCTACAAGGCCTTGTAGAAATGCACATAAAACTGCTTATAGGTTCACAAAGGATGTTCCTGGAGTATGTGGTGGTGGCTGTTCATAGGCTAAAGGCTGGAGCTCTCCTCTGTGCTATTATAGAGGTGACAAAGAGCTAGTTACTCTTTGTCCTTTTCAAACACGTTTCTGGTTGTTCTCTCTTTCAGCATCAGCGATCCATTTATTTTCAGCTTGTGCCACAAAGATCAGACCCTGGGAGGTCAGGCATGCACTCGTTATTCATACAGTGACATTAAGGAGATACACCCTCTACGCTTTCTTCTGCAGGTAGGAATTGATAAACCATGCTGTTGGTACGAGAGCCACAAGCTCTGTGATAAAATATGGCTAGGAATTTTTTGTACTGTAAGATCTTCAGGATCTTGGATTTCTTCCCTCAGCCCTTTACTAGCAGTCACAGTCCCACCCCTGTTTTGGCATCCTTACTGAGGTGCTTGGTTCCCTGGGAATCATATTGATATTTCCATGAAAGAATTGTTAATGGAAAGAATTCCATACTATTGGGACAAAATGTTGAGAAATGGACTCTCCTGAATTCAGTTAAAACTCCCAAATATGTGGGCTGATTTTCAATTATGCCTGGACCGTATAGACTTTAGTAGTCATTGATTGGATCAGGCCCAAAGAAACAATGTATGCAGTCTTTTTCCCCTTGCACTCTCAGGATAATTGTCTGCCATAGAGTTACATCAAGGGTGCCCACTTAGTCTTTAGTGTTCTTGCAATGAGAATCACAAACAATCCCATCTGGAGCTGTGACAGAGCCTCTTAGAGAATGTTGGACCAGGCCTTTGCAGGGCGATGGAAGCTAATTAGACTCGTACAAAAAAGAAAAAAAGATGAGTCATTTATTTGATGAAGGATGCAGCTCCTTTGACAAATTCAGCATATAGCTTCAGTTAAAAAGATTTAAAGCCTATTTTGGAAATGTGTGAACAGTTCATGTTGGTATTTCCAAAGTGGAATGTTTTTCTTTTTTGGGCTAAAATCACAAGGACACTTAGATTCATTAAACCAAGCAGGGGGAGACAGTCTCTTTATCTTCAGGCACTCAGCTGTGAGAGGGACATCCAGATTCCAGTCCTTGCTTCAATAGCTGTTTAATTACTTCTACAAATTGGAACAGTTTCAATAGCAGAGATTTAATGCAGAGTACTGTATAGTCCAGTGGTTAGGGCACATTCTTAACAGATGAGAGATCCAAGTTTCAGTCATTCACAGGGCCATGAGAAAGGAATGTTGAACCTGGATCATCCCTGTTCTGGGTAAGTGCTATAAAACAGAGCAACTGTTTCTATTTTCCCAACTTGCCAAATAACACTTAGGTCCACTTTGTGAGTCCAGCCCTTTATTTTAAAATTGACTTAAAAAAAAAGTATGAATCAAAATGTTTGATTTGACCCAAAATAAATTATTTTCTACAGGAAAAATGCTTAAAAATTATTTTTGGGTTAACCCAGAATGAAACCCCCCAACCTCATTCAGCTATTAAATTGAAGGTCCATTATGTGCAAAATTCTAGACTAAATGTTGCAAATTGTTTACTACAATTTTGGTATTTCTTTTGCTTCACATCTTCAATTGGCATCTTTTTGGGTAGTGGCCAGTTTTTATTCTGTGCTTCTTCAGCACCTAGCACGGTGGGGTCCTGGTCTATAACTGGGTCTCCAGGGTATAGCCAAAATACAGATAACAAGTAAAAATGATGCTCTTTGAAGAATGACTGGAAAAAATGAGGTAGTTCATCCCAGTATAAATAATAGGTTATAGACAAATTGCCAACATAATAAGAGGAGAGTATTTAGTTAATCATATAAAATATTCACTAAATGATGGACTAAATTTCCCCTACTCTGACAGAGGTATGTGATAAGATTTCTTTTCAGTCTAATTCTAACTTTGGCAAGAGGCATGTTTTCATTGCAAAAAGGTTTTTAATGACCCTTCTCTCCCCGTGCCAAATTTACCCATCAGTTAAATGTCCAGCATTTGCTATACAAATCTTCACCTTGCCAATTGTTTGTTCTTACAGGAGATCGCCTTAGAAATATTCTTCAAAAATGGCTACTCCAAGTTTCTCATCTTCCATGACAGTGACAGGAATAAAGTCTTTAAGAGGTAGTATTGAGTGATGTTGTACCTGTGATAGTCCACAGAATGTGAGAGGCAAAGATTTTGTGGGTGATATTTTTTAATGGATCAGCTTGTTTTTTATTTGATGAAATCCTTGTCTTCAAGAGGTAGTTCCTTCTTTAACATGGCACTCGGGATCCAGCAGCTGGGAATTTATTACTGTTGTGCAGCCAGTCCTTCCTGTGTGCATACATCTCCCAAACAGTGCCATCATTTATTCTAAAACTGCATATCATTCCTCTTCAAACAGCTTCCCTTTAGCAAGAAAGACATAATTACTCACAGTCGGTGTGATTTTTTTTCCCCTTGTTGAGCTATAATTTTTTTGAGCATATATATGTATGTATGTATGTATGTATGTATATATATTTACCATCAATATTTGAGGTGGCATGATGCTTTAAGAATAAGATCTTTTTGGCTCTCAGACCTTGATTTTCTCTAGCATAAACAGAGCTAACAGACTTTAAGAAGTAGAATTTTTGTCTAGGAAGGAGAGTTTTTACCCTCTTATTGCCTTGTGTACATGACATTTTCCCTTTCCTGAAGTTAGACTATAAAGTGGATAATTTGCACACTGTTCTCTAGTAGTCAGTTTAATTTAATCATCCTGTCTTCACCAAACTGCAGTTCCAGCAGTTGCACTGGGATTAATCTCACTACTGTCCTCACCAAAACAAATCTTCATGCTACAGAATTGCTAGGTGAAATTTTATAACCTTAGACTGGTTATTATTCTAGATGATGATAATGGTCTCTTCAGACTGTCTATGGATAGATATAGATGGACCCTGGCCTAAATAACAAATACAGATTTGTCCCACTTTTTAAAATCAAAATGTAAATGTGGTTTCAATTAGACAAGATAAACTTCTCCTAAGCTCCTGCTCTTTTTGCCATTTACAGCTAATCAGCAGCCACATCCCCCCACCAAAAAGTAGCTGCTTTTTAGTTATGGGCAAAGTGGTTCCTATCTTTGTTAGTTGTACATCATTTTGAGGCCCCAATTCAGGAAAGCACTTGCTGAAGTTATTCTTCAGCTGTCATTGCACATAAATGTATACTTGACCTTAGCCACAGGCTAAGTGTCCCAGTGACTTGAAGTGGTGTCTTGAATAGGGGCAGGCCTCCATTCATAAAATGCTTTATCACCACCCTTCAGGACAAAAGGTACTATAGAAACTTATATTATTATTGTTATTGGCGATGACCTTTTTAAGGATCAAAAAGATTTCTTTTTTCTCTGTTGTTTTAGGTTTTGTTCATTCCAATCTGTTTTGAAGGCAAAAGGAATAACAGAAGAGTCCCTGAATATAAGGTAAGAAACTGGGAACTCCCCTAACATCTGATCTTTGTAATCAGCAGATTTAATTTGGGAGAGAATTGTACTCTAACAAAAACCACTAGAAAGCTATGTAATTTTGTCCTCCTTTTGTGTACTCAAAGACATTATAACCATAAAATAGCCTCACTATCAAGGCATGAGGAATGTATTAAGTAGCTGGTTATCAATAGTTAATTAATACTGATTATCTACTTAATATGATTATATTGGTAAATTCTTTATAGACAGCATGGGAAAGACTGTTGAACAGACGTGAGGTTAGAAAACTAATCCATAAAGGTTCTGTGTAATGGCCTATTTACTGGGCTGTTTCAGCAGACAGTGACAGATGTACCTACCGCACACTGTTGATTTGGTACAGATTATAACAACTTCATAATTGTTATCCCCACTTACTGCCCCTCACTTACACCCCTGTAAGGGAAGGGAGTTTGTTTCTAAACATGGTGATATGACTGGGTTATCTGTGCTAAACACAAATTACTAGCACACTTAGAATTTCTCTTGAGCTGGATGTTCAAGGACAAACATTAAGAGTTTGAAAGCTTCCCTAAATTCACCAAATTACTTGGGCATGAATTCTAACAGGAATGGCTTTCCACACTATTTCCATTATTTCCTGGTTCGCCTCTGCCCAGAAACTCAGACCGTTGGGTTCCAGATCATGCAGAGCTTTAGAGGCCATGCCATGAGCTGCTCCTGGACAGGTAAAGGAAGCTAGTTTAGAACAGTGGATATGGGTGTCTTTGTGGGGAGGGGCTGTCCTAAATTAGTCAACGTTAGGTATCAGAATCAACAGGCAATTGTGATTCATGGGTCATGGCTCTCTGAGCTGTTATGTCAGGCTCTCTGCAAGCTCCTAGGTGTCTGCATCGGTTACACTTGGTCACATATTGTGTTAGATTTCCTTCAGTGTCAGAACAGGTAATGAAAGCTACAGCTCCAGAGAATAAGAGGGCAACTTGAGAGAGGGACCAGAACATTTATACCAGGAGGGTCAGGGCAATCTAGGTTTTGTCAGTGGAGTAATATGGACCTCTAAGAAAGACAAAGAAGGTCCTAGGCTCAGTGTGGAGCAGCACACTCTGCTCTGTACTGAATTTCTGAGGAGAATTAAACAGCTTAGAGGAAAGAGAAACAGCTCAGGAGATTAGGATAGATTGATTGCTTGTTTATCTAGTCATTAATTTTCCTAGCCAGCCTGGATCAGGTCTGAACTTTGGGTGGAAGGGAGGTTAGTGTTAGAGGTTTGACTAACCTTTACAGAAATTAAGGAGCCCAGGGCAACAGGAGTTAATGCATCTGTTCTTGAATCTCAAAAGCACATTTTGGTAGGGATTTTTAATTCCCCTAAGGATCAGCCTGGAATTTCCTCCCCTGGAGAGGGAGAACCTTGCCTTCATTGTCCCCTCTGAGCAGCAGGCATAGGGACTCTGGTATAGCTTGCATAACTCTGGACTGTATTGTAGCATGGACTGTAGGGCTACGTGAAGCTTTGGTCCCTGATTCGATTCAGCGGAGATTCGGCCTGATTCGGTGGCTGAATCTCCGAATCCGAATTGATGAGAGGACCCTTCAATCTCTCTGAATCGAATCGTAACCCTCTGAATTGATTCGGAGAGATTCGGAAAGATTTGGACACAGACACAGCTTTAAATGTTTTTTCTACATAGCTCTAGGTAGTAGGGGCTTGTGAATGCCACAGTGCTGGGACACATGGAGTGTCCCACTGGAGCATGGGGGGCTCCCCAGCGTGCTTGGCAGCAGACCCGGAAGTGGACCAGAAGCACTTCCAGTCCACTTCTGGGTCCACCGGGGAGTGCGCTGTGGGGCG